GGTTTAACTTAAACTTAACATGTTCTTTTTATGGAAAATGTGTCCAGAATGTGTCTTTATAAAGCACTCTCTTAGTCATTTAATATAAGAAAACAACGTTAATTAAATTTAAACCCTGTGTCATTCTACAAGGATTATCCAAACATTTCTCAGTGGACATTTTATTAAAGCGACTCTTCTTTTTAATGAAGTTTATAGGATTGTGGGACCTGTAATAAAAATCCTTCCTGTTGTTCTCAGAAGCATCAGAACATACGCACACAGAAAAAATACTAACAAGGACAAAACAGTCTGTGTGCAGTTAGAGATTTTTTATTTTTATTTTTGTCATTTTTGAAGTTTGTGCATTTATTTAATTTTGTGAATCAAGCGTTTATTGAAATACTCTCCTACTAAAATGTGCTTGTGATATAAAAAATGTGTTTGCAACAAACTTAGAGTAAATTAAGAAAGTAGATTCAGAAACTACATAAGTTTAGTTGAGTAAAAAACTACTGTTGTGCAACTGCATATTTCCCACACAGTGTGTTATTATGTGCTCCATATATACAATCCTGTACATTAATGTGTAAAGTTACACACATCTAGACATGCAAATGGCTGTTTGACAGCTGCCACCACTGATCTTTCAGCAGCTGTGAGTGGTGGTCCATGGTGAGTGATACCTAAGCCTCGCCTGTCCTCTTGTTTCAGGGTCCAGCTGGCTTAAAGGGAGGAGAAGGACCTCAGGGTCCCCCCGGCCCCATCGTAAGTAGCCCGTTACTATGGTTACCTCATCTCTTTTGCCACAGAGATTGCGAAGGAAAAGTGACTTTTTGCGTTTGGATAATTGAGCTGCTCATGCTGTGCACAGCTCTATTCTGTGGTCATTCAGCAGCTCGTGTAATGTAAACTGCAGTGGCTGAACGGAGGGCGGTGAGACGATTGAAATCACTTCCTCCAAAGAGTCGAAATGAGAGATATAAGCATTTTTTAATTACCCCTTTATATCTGGGACATCTTGTTTAATAAATTGATGATTCACAAAGTGGATCTTAAAATTTAGATTATGCACGATCATTGATTTTTTTTATTCGCTTTGTTAATGACAATTATTTTCACTTTTTATTTCTGATGAAAGCAAAGTCTTGAGTTTTTTTTTCAACATTAGCTCTTCTAAACAAGACATTTATGAATGTTTAAACCACTGCTGGATAAACAACATATTGCTTTATTTGTGGCATTTTTTGCTGTAATTTTTGTCTAATTGTCCGATCGAAGAACAACTAGTTTCATGCCTGTTGCTTGACTGGTCATGGATGTTTTCCTCGGACACTTAACAGAAATGAAGATGGATTTTTATTTATTTATTTTTTCTTGTTTGGCTACCTTTTTATGCCTTTTACTGTTTTACTTTGTGGTATTTATGCATAATACACTTAGCATGTTGCCATTTTAATTAAATCACATTTTGCACATCTTCATGCTGTCATTTAGCAAAAATCAAGGTTAAAGTTTGTCCTCATGCACAAGTTATTATGTTGAATTTGATTGTACGAGCTTGTGCAACGTCAAAAACTGTTCTATTCTATATTCTATAGCTTCATTATGTGTATTGTATTATGGCAAATCAGACATGCTTCCATCATACTGTGGCTTTGACGGGAGCAGGAGTGAGGGGTTCTTCATTAATAAGTGAGATGCTTTTGTTCCTGGCTTTGTCTCCCACACCTCAGTTAGAGATATGGGCAATAAAAAAAGCCCCTGAAGTTCCAGCTGATATTCGGCGCATAATCTGACTGACAGGCAGCTTTGAACTGTCTGTCATTTTGCTGGAGCGTTAAACGCGGGCTCCCGATAATTGCCCCGTGCTCACCAGCGACGGAGCAGCGCCAGATTAGATGACAGGGGTGGATATGCAGAGGAGGGATGAAAAGATGATGAAAGCAAGAAGAAAGTTCTCTGAATGAGCGCAGCCATTTCCACCGCAAAGTGGGATCGTTTTCCTAAATTGGCATGAAAGTGAGCCATTCCCCAAGTACAGGTGGAAAGACTGTTATGGTAGTGTTTGAGTTAAAGAAGGGAAAAAAAGGGAAGAAGAAGGCAGCGTGCAATGTGCACGCACACAAGAGATCTGATATTTTCCTCCATCGATTTCCTGCCAGAGGTGGAGCTGCTGATGTGCAGGGGGGGATTCTGAGTGCTGTGTGCGTGCTGCTTTTTCTTTGTCTTTTCACAAAGTTATGTGTGTGTCTCAGAAAGAGACAAAGACAGGTTAGCACAAAAAAACAAATAATAAATAAATAAAGAGCGAATGCAACAAATCGTGTGTCTTCTGTTGCCTTGCAGTTCTGTTTCTGGCCAATCAGACGTGTCGAAGAAAAAAAAGAACACGAGTAAAATGACGGCGAAGAAAAGCGCAATGATAAATAGTAAACTGTTGTTTCTGCATGTGTTCCTCCCAATGGGCTACTTGGCAGGTTTAAGGTGACAATTTGGAGATTTTTGTGTGCACGTGTCACCAGCAATATCCGTCATACAGAAATGGACCGGGCATGTTGTAAGAATGCCAGGCGGCAGCTCACATCAGCGGCTCCGTGTGAGTCAGGTCACAGTTTGATCTGTTTACGTTCCCAAGACATTTCCTGGAAATTAGGAAGCTGTGATAGCCTTGTGATAAAACAATGTGTTGAACACCCACCTGGAAATAGTCAGGAGCAATGTAATAAGACACGGTCCTTGTGGAAATCCTCTGAAGAGTCCTCAGACCTTTAGTTTTAACAAGAACTAATCTCTTTCTGGGAAGTTAGACAACAATCGAAGCAGTCATCTAAATTTAAAAATTTGGAAAGTGACAGCATTAAACTGTTTGTGTCTCTTATAAAAGAAAAATGTTAATAACATTAAATATTTTATGCTTTAACTTAAACATTTCCAAGATTACGTTTGTGCATTTTCTTTTATTTACTGGATAGGTTGTGATTTTTGAAGTTTCATGATTCACCAAGTGACTCTTTGATCCAGGGTTCTCCGGGTGAACGAGGCCCCGCTGGTCCTGGAGGTCCCATTGGTCAGACAGGACGAAATGGCCCACAAGGACCTCCTGGCCCTGCTGGAGAAAAGGGAGCTCCTGTGAGTGCATTTTTTTTTATTATTAATATTATTTTTTTATTTGTTTTCTTGCCTCTGTGAAACTGTTTAATTTTATTTTCCACTAAAAGTTTTTATGGTGTTGTCAAAGAGTTGTGATTAATGTTATTTGTAGGGAGAGAAAGGTCCCGTGGGGCCAGCTGGCCGTGATGGCATTCAAGGTCCAGTAGGTCTTCCTGGTCCAGCTGGTCCTCAAGGTCCCCCTGGAGAGGACGGTGACAAGGTAAAGAAAAATTGTACCGCTTGCTTTATAAATACTTAAAATGTTTGCTACAAAGCATTTTGTTGGGTGTAATATAAAACCATACATAGTGAGGAGTTAGAACTCCACGTCTTTAACCTTTATTTTCTATTTAATGAGATCAGAGCAAAACTCCAGTTTTCTTTACAAAAAGTACGAGTTAGAGCTGTCAGGGTTTGTCACATTCTCAGAGAGATAAACGATTATTTCTGGCTGACTTGTCATGTTGCTTTACTTTACATTTTTTACTATTCTTCAGTTTTATTCACACATAGTAATTCTCTCTGACACAGCTTAACTCTTTTAATTTTGTTTGGCCTAAATCACAAACCTAATATAAAACTGTCTAATCTACAATTAAACAAAAGCACTTTTTTAAGTACTTAGCATTATCATACAATTAGTCATCTGCAAAACTAGAATAATGTATTATGTAAACAAGCACTAATTTACCGAAACTGCAAAAAAACAATGTTTACCCTCAGGCCAGCAAATCCCACAGCTAATACACTAAAGCCCAGATCTGCATTTTTCACATTTGCAACCATCACACCTCGCCAATCCAAGTCACGTCTCCCATCAAGCCCCTTTGTCAATCATCGTGCCGATGAGGTGAGACAGGGAGCCAATCAATTAATTGAAGGCCCTCGCCCAAGGTCTTTCTGGGCCAATCAAATTAGAATCTCTTGAGAAATATTCACTGCTCGATCGTGATAAAGGTGACACTTGAAGATATCAGACTTAGGCTAAACATGGAAGGCAAGAGCTTTTAAAGATGTCCAGGAGAGATTTCAGAGTGTGTTTGTGTGTGTGTGTGTGTGTTGGACCACAGGGTGAAGTTGGTGGACCGGGACAGAAGGGAAGCAAAGGAGACAAGGGTGAATCTGTAAGTTTGTTGATTTCATTTGTAGATGTTATGTGAAGCAATGAGATCAAAATTGTAGCTTAAGTTAATTAACCACTAATCCTGTCAAGTTAAATGAATGAAAATGAATGAATTTGTCTTACATGAAAGAGTCTCCAGTTTACAAAGCAAATCTTAACTGAATAATTTAATCTTTCTGTTTAAATGTCAGGGTGTTTTTTTTCTTTCTGTCTTGAATTATTTTTTATTTCAAATTTCCATATGAGTTGCATAAAGGTAACTAAAAGCTGTGATTTAAATGAATGAATTTGAATAAATTGACATTTATTTAAGGCCAAGAAAACTGGGACAGTGATCAGCTTTGCAATGTCATTCTTTTAATTCTTTTCCATGACTTTATACAAACATCCCGACTGCATGGCTTTCTTCTTTTTTGCTTTTAGGGTCCACCAGGCCCGACTGGTGTCCAGGGTGTGGTTGGAGCTCCTGGTCCTGCTGTGAGTATCACTTTATGTCAAAGTTTCTCACAAGAAAACTAACATAATACTTGTTTGATTTTAAAGGTTCAGTATTAAAGTTTTAACTCCCAGGAGTCTATTTAAAACTAGATATCGCATAGCAGTAACAGATATGACCCCCACACATACACAAAGCACCAGAACTCACCAGAACAGATGTTTTGGGTGGGGGTCCAATGATGGGTGGGAGGGTGGGGCCTTATTGGTGGACCCAATGGATAGCCCTTCATCAGAGCTAAACAACAAAAAAAATCTGAAGCTCCTATGTTTAATAGTTTTTGAGTTATAAGCATTTTGTATGGCCAGACACACCCTTTTTTGATGGAGCCCCCTCTTCAACTATGGTGTCTATTGTAAAACCGTTGGCTAGTGCAGTGTAGGTCATTCATGTCTGCATTCCTGCCAAATTTCATGTTGATCGGTGCAGCCG